AGGTAAAAGGAACAAGCATTTCAGGGCAGCCTGGGCAACATAGGGAGACAAAGTTTATAAGATATATAACCATCCCAACAAACATTGGCTATTTGAAAAGAATGAAGTAAAATTCAAAAAGTAAGAAAAAAGCCCTGCTGTGGATACAGACGGAACCCTGTTGTGATGAAGAAATACACCATCTGCAGATACTCTTCACTGAATCCTGAGCTGCTGCAAGGGATGTGAGCAGTGGCATGGAGGAAGGAAAGACAGCTGGGGAAAAGGACAAGTCTCACAGCCAGCACATGATAGTCCCAGGACTGGGCCCACGCAGCCTCACAGCTAGTCCCAAACTCTTTTTACTGCCTTCTACTGATGATATAAAAAGGATGCCAAAAGTTCATTTTCTTGGGCCAGAAAATACTTTGGAGTCTCCAGTGTACCTGGCTGGAGCTTACTGCCCAAGATGGCCCTGCCGAGTCTGGAGTAGATTGAGATCCAGCCACTGCCCTGAGGAGACGCCGAAACTTGCAGTCCAAACAGCCGAGCACGTGGAGCCTAGAGAGAAGGAAGCCTGTGCCAGGCTGCATTTAATGCTATTAAAAGCAGCCCGCATAGTTTCCACCATCCCTAATGGAGCCATGTCATTTTACAGACCCGGCCCTTGCTTCAGGCATCCGGCTAGGAATTATGGGTATTTAAGAGAAGCAATTTCCAAACAAGTCTCTTCCAGGTCATTCTGAGGAAGTACGGTGTGCCCCGGCATTGGAAAGGCAAGAGAAGGCCGTCCTAGCTCTGTTACCTTAGCCGCATGGTTTGAAGACTTTCCCCAAGAATACCCAATGTCATCTCTGTGGAGAGGGCAGAACAGAACCTAGCTACCTATAGGCGATAACCGGAGTCTGCGGGAACTGGCAGCCCCATAGCCCAGGTAGGGCTGGCAGCTGGGGTTGGTAGAGGCAGCTGTGAGCTATGAGCCCCTAAAAGGGTCAGTCTCCGCCATTTTTTACACTCCAAGCCTTGAAATTAGTTAGCCATGTTTATTTCCGTTCGTTAATGCAAAAGCCATGAAAGTATGCACATCTCTTGGGTCCCGCAGCCTCAGAGGAAAGAGGGCGGAGTGGAGCAGTGACAGTCAAGGTGACAAAAGCGATAGTTGAGAGAAAAGAGCAAAATCTTCCACATTCAACAGTGTTTCCCGACCGTTCTAATGCTGAGACCCTTTAACACAGTTCCTTATGTTGCAGGGACCCCCCAGCCATAAAATGATTTTTCTTGTTATTTCATAACTTTAATTTTGCTACTGTGATGAGTCATAATGTACATAATGTATATCTGATATGCAAAACACCCTCCCCAAAAAAAAGTCTCAACCCACAGGCTGAGACCCGCTGATCTAGAGCCACCTGGGTTTGAAGCCAGTCGTGGACTTAGACCATGACCTGCAGACACTTCTTCATCTCCCTGACCTCTGGATGCTCTCCTGGGAGGTGGCTACATGGGTGCCAAGCCCAGTGCCTGAGGGCTGATGATTAACAAACTAAGTGGAATTTTCAGTTTGCTTCTCTCATGGGACAGATGAAAACGATAAAATGCTCAGAGTTCAGACTCTGCCTTCATTGTCAGACTCTGCGAAGGGAAAAGATTGTCCTCCCCTTGGGAGAAGCAGTGAAGTGGGACACTAGCATTTGGCCTCTTACTCCATGAACTTTTCAGGGTCAGAAGCTGTGCAGCAGCGAGGTCTTTTCACACATGCTCAAGCCAGAAGCAGTGGAACGCCTGTAATTGCAGCACTCAGCCCAGCGGGAAGATTGTGAGTTCAAGGCTGATCTGAGCTACATGGTGAAACTCTTAAAAAGAAGAAGGGAGAGAGGGAAGGGGAGAGGAAGGGAAGAACCCCTCCACAATCCTAAGAACCAGGCAAGCGCTTAGACATTGTCTCCAAGTCATAAACAAAGAAATGACCTTGTTGGTTAAAAACAAGCCAGAAGGTGACAGGGCTACATCTTAAACTAGGAATAGCTGTCTTGGGGGTGGCAGTATTTAGAAAGTTGTGGTATCTTTAGAATAGAAACACGGGGGGGGGGGGAGGGGAGACAGAGCTTTCACCTGGTAGGGCAGAAAGGCTCAAGGGACACCTGGCTCAGTGGTCCACAAACTGGATTCTGGGGAAGACCTTGCACAGGTTGGCCAACCAAGGCAACGATGACCCTCTGGTACAGGCTCATGCTGTAAGTACAGTACTTAGGAGCTCAACTACATAGTAAGTCCCATAGTAACTCCCCCTCCCCCCCCAGGAGCCACTGAGACCCCCATGTCAACAAAACAAAACAAAACAAAACAAGAGGCTCTGGCTATTGGCCTCTGAACTCCTGATCAGCTCAATTCCCATGAGCTCCACCTAGATACAGCCTTGCTTGGAACAACCTGCCTGGGTCCCCAGACCTCAGGCAGTCCTAGCCATAGTTCTTTAGCAGGTGTTTGTCCAGTCAAACATCAGAACCACGCTTTCCACTTTCCAAATGGCAGCGGCGCTCAGTGTCATGAAGTACTGGTGAAATTTTGTCAGAGAAGTCTTCTAAGTCGTTAAACCCAAAAGGTCTAGCCTGGAGCATCCTGGGATGGGGGAAATACATGGAGTCGCCAGCTTGTCTGAGGGAAGATGGTGATGTTTAGGCTCTTACCTTCTCTACCCACACAGGCACCAGGTTCTAGAGTTGAAAGAGAGGGCAGACCATGAAGCAATGAAGGAGAAAGAGTGCTGTCATTTCTTGGGCATGCTCTCTCTACCAGGAAGCATGTGCTAGATTCCCTTACGTGGGAAACCATTTTTGGCTGTGTCTTGTCTTTGGCTGGTGTGGACTGAGGGTGGTTCCCTTGGAATTGCCTCCCCTAGGAGAGCAGACAATCTGAAATGCCTGAGGGATGATGGGTGTCCAGGCAGACAGAATGGACACAGGCAATATCCTCCATCCAGTCTCCCTGGGCCTACCTGCCGCTAGGAAACAAGAAAGAAAAGATAGCGAAAGAACTGTTGGGCAGGGATGGCTCAAATAACCCATAACCCTAGGGGTGACCTCAGAGCTGAGCTGTCTTGCTTCCACGCCACACCTGTGGGGTGCTACCCATGTCTGCGGGAAGGGATGCCCATGAGGGCGGCACTCCTGCTATTGCCAGCACCGTTTCCTGGCTGCATGGGTGTCAGTGGCCGTCACACATGGGTGACAGACAGGTAAACACCACTCACAATAATCCCAAAGCCCTGACTGGAGGGCGACAGTAGCCCAGACCAAGGAATCTGCCTGGATGCTGGCGGCACTGCCAGGCCTGATGGATGAGCGACTGGCTCAGATGGAAGAGCTCTGGGAGGCGGAACTGGCCTCATTTGACACAGGCTTGAAGGGAGCCGGTAAGTGCACATAAGGAGTGAGCGCTGAGCCCCCAACAGCGTGAGGAAGGTGCAGACGGTACCTGGGCATGGGTCCGCACAGGTGCAGCGGAATGCCCTGCGGATCGTTAGTAGAAATAATCCAGGAGGCGGTGTCAGGAGGAGAGAGTGAGGTTGGACAAGGTGTGCGGGCAGGTTTGCTGGCAGGAGTCGCACATATAGATGGCATCAGAGCAAATACTCCGTGAGCTAGGCAGTCTGTCCAGTGGAGTCTCCAGCAGTGGCTTCGGCCCCTCCCGGAGCATGTGGGAAGTTTGCTTTAGTTCTTCAAGGAGCTCTAGAATTAATCTTACATTTCTCTTGTTTTTAGTTATATCTTTTAATTGTAGAAGTGATTGCATGCTTATTGGAAGAAACCAAACAACACAGAGACGTGGGTGGGAACTCTCAAACAGGTCCTTCCTAACCATCTACCCCTAACATGGTCACATTTGTATGGATGCCACATAAGTAAAACACACACACACACACACACACACACTGGGTTGATTTGGATTTTGTATTGTATAAGAATGGGAGGCTACGTTGTTACTTTTTTTCATATAAGTCATTGGTAGTAAGGATAAAAAGTGAATAAATTGTAATAAATAAATGAAAAAAGATATATATTTTTTATTCACTTATTAATTACTACTTGATACATAGCTTGGCTACTCCAGTGTTGTTTTGTTTTGTTTTTTTAATCTAAATGTTCTTGAGACTGTGTTCTATCAGGCCTCTCCTTTTTCACTTAATCTTCAACCAGTTCCCATGCCATTAAAGGCCCTTTGTAGTTACAGTTCTGTTGGCTGCCTCATATCCCAGAATGTGAGGAAATCATCATTTGCCGATTTGCTTTCTGCTGGTGGGGGCTTTAAAAACTTATAATACAATGAGCGTTACACAGCACCCAGCCGCATCTTCATCTCTGGCTACTCCCTCAAGGATGTGAATACTTTGAGAGCCATTGCCCAGGCTACCCGACTGCTTCTTTTCCAGGAAAGCTAGCAGTCTGTTCCCACCAGCAATACCCATGAAGGGCTCTCTCTTCTCGTCTTACTAATCGTCAGGCAGGAGAGGCAGGCTACCGCTCCGATTACACTGTACATTACTGTGAGGCTGGCTTAATCATCTTTGCAACCCTTGTGGTAAGGGCCATCTGAGCACACACACACCCCCACACACTCTGGTTTCTCTAAGTCAGTCCTTTCTCTCTCGACCCCAGCCCAGTCCTGAGCCCTCCTGCCCCAACCTCCAGAACGGTCCCTTCCCTCCTGTGTCTGCATACCATGCCTTTGCTCGCCAGGTCTCCATAGCCCTGCACTCTCTGATCTCTTCCTGGCTTCTATGCCCTAGGGGCATTCCTCATTCTGTGTCCTGAGCCCCCAGAGCAGAGAACAGAGCAAACAGATCTGAGCCTAGAATTTTGTTGCGGGTTGCCATCAGGCTAGGATTAGTGTTGACAGGCAGCAGATGCCACAGGAGAAGCCTTGCTGCTCTGACCTGGGTCCAGGACGGGCGGGAGCGGGCGCCTCCTGCGCCCTACCTGCTGAGCATCACACAACTCTCTCCTGTCTTTCCTCTTCCGGTTTCCTGCTTTAATTGACACAAACGATACCATTTGGAGGTTCGGAGTTCCTGCAGGAGAAGGCCTGTGGTCCTCCGAGCCCCGGGGCCTGTTTGTTGGAGGAGAGGGAGCCTGGATGCTCTGCAGGCCCCCTTCAGACCGCGGTAATAGGCGGAGGCTGGTGGGTCGCTGCGCAAAGCCGGTCCTCCGCGCTGAGACTCCGCAGAAATCCCGCTGGAGCTCTTTCTGCTCTCGCCCTGTCTACTTCCCTTCATAATGATGAATGGCTGAAAAGAGAACTATCTAATCTCCAAAACTGCTGGCTTTTTTCTGCCCCCTCCCCTTCTCTTTCTTCAAGGAGGGGAGGAAGAACATGGCCACATAAAACAGAGTCCTTCATCGCCCGCTCCTCTGGAGACGCGCGCTCCCTTTTCATCCCGGGGCCTGTTTCTGATCTGCGATGGGCTCTCCTTGAAGGCTCGGGCCGGCCCTCCCTAATCGGCCGCGACAGACGCTGCGAGCTGCGCGGGCTGCCCGCTGAAATTGAATTGATTGCCCGGCCCCTCTGCCATTTTGTTCTGCGCGCGATTGCTTAATGGCTGTCACCTTGGCTTTCAGTCCCAGCCGGCTTTGGGGCTGGCTGGCTGGTTCCCATTACTCGGGATGGCCAGTGCAAGTTCACCACCCTTTACAGGATGTCCCTGATTGATTCCGTATGCCTTGGAGACCTGTGAGAGATTTGCATAGGGGTTGCTGGGGGTGGGGGGTGGGGTGGGTGGAACAGAAACCTCTGGGCCACAGAGACGGCCAGGTTTTTGGCTGCGGGGGGGGGGGGGGGCTCCCCATATTTGAATCATTACCTGAATGAGCCTGGCCTTTGCTGACATAACTGCTAATGAATTTGTAAATTTTGCAAAACTAGAAAACTTAGCCTGTTCTAACCTTGCCTGTCACCACCTGCCCCCCTCAACCCCTCATACCTCCACCATTGGGGGCCACTAGCTTTTCTGGCCTGAGCTCATGCAGGTCATTGGAATGACAATCTCTCCCTCCCTACCACCCCTGCCCTAGCAGGCAGGAGAGCCTGGTTCGGAGGCAGCCGTCTTTCAAGTAAAATGCTTTGCGCTGGGAACTACTTCAATTAGACAGCAGGCGGAATGTTAACATGCCCTCCGGCCTTTTAAGTGGGTTTTAATTTTATGTTGTAAGATAAGACACTGCAAGGCCAGGCGGCTGCTCCTCTAGCAGGCTCCATTAGAGGGGCCGGCAGAGGCCTCTTGACCCCCTGAGGCCCTGCCGAGGCTAGAAATCGCTTTGGTTTTTTAACAATTTGTCAGTCTGACCCAAATTCTCTTTTGTGATTCCAGGACCTTCTGTGGCTTGAGGCCGATCCTCCGGGCTGAGGCCTCCAGCCCTTGGCTGGAGAGGAACCCTGGGGACCACAGAGCTGAGCAGTAACCGGCCCTTTTTCCTCCTCAAGCAGGGCACAGCAGAAGCAGCCACTGTCATATGGCAGGCTTCTGGGCCGGTGATGTATGACCCGCTGGCTCTACTGAATGGTGCCCTTTGTTCCACAGGATCCCATGTGCCCCCTTTTTATTGAGTTGTTGATTCAGAGGGGCAGGGAAAGTTCCACAAATCCCACTGCAGCCCCGGCTCTTGCCATGCCCAGGTGGGGCAGCCAGGGAAACTCACCTTTCCCAGGAAGCCAGGAGGACTCTGTGAGCTGTCTCAAAGCCGAATACCACTTTGGGAGCAACTCTCATGCTGAGCCAAGCAGGTACTTGGAGAGAACCCAGGTACACCTAACCCTCCGAATTCCAGGTGAGGAGGAACTGGACAAGGTTACCATCACCGGCAGGGTGCCTGTGAGCCAAGGGCCATCTTCCCTATCTCCAAGCTAAGTCAGAGTTTTCTCTGTGACTAAGCCCCTGGCAGGCACCAATGGTAAGAGAGCAGTAGGAAGCTGCCCAGCCAGAGGCCCTGTAGAGCCAAAGGGAAGGGCCAGGGCAAGAGGCTTGAAATGAAACCCCACTGTTGCCTCTTTTGTCCTGGGTTTCAAGACCATCTTAGGTGGAGACCATGGGGGATGGACCAGCCGTGAGGGTGAGTTGTGCCGGGGACTAGTCCACTCTGGCGGCACCTTCCTGTAACCGCTTTTCTTCATCACGCCCAAGCTGGATTTCATCTCTCCCAGTCCCTCCACCTGGAAGCCAGGGTCTCACTTCAGACCCACTGGAGTAAAGGTGGCTGACAGACTCACACAGCCGCTCCTGGAAGCCACTCTTCTGAAGCAACTGCACAAATGCCACCAAGGATTCTCTACTTAGGAGACTATCTTCTCCGAATTGTAGGGTTGATGCTAAAAAAGATGAGATCTTTGCTGCTGCCTGCCCGCCCAACCAACCCTTCTGGGGTCTTTGTGAGCCCTGGAAACTAGCCCCATAACCCAGGGAGTAACATGAGATTGAAGGGACTTTTGAACTCAGGTCACTCTGAGGGCCCATGGCACAAATGCTTAAAGGGGCACTAAGGGCCCCACCAGGCACCTGAAGGAAGGAAAAAAGGCATAAAAGGAAAGACACTGTCGCCGAGCAAGGCAAGGCGCTAACAAATGACAAACACGCGCTTCACAGTTGTAAGATGGCTTTATGTTCCAATATGTAAAAGAAAACGTCCATGCTATATACCAAAAACACTTGGAATTTCATACCACCTGTCAGCTAATGTGTTTTCTAATAAAGCTTTATCTGCAGTGTGTGCATTTATAATATATATATATATATATGTTTATCTAAACCATTCTTAGTTAACATCAAATGTCATAAAAATTTAAATAGATGTTTTCCCAAATACTCCCGTCAGCATTCATTTCTCGGTAAGTTTGTTTGTAAAAAGCAAAGCTGAATTTGACATGTGGCCAGCATCTGTGAGATATAGATATATTTATTTATATATTCATTTATATAATATATAAATAGCTATTTGGCATGCAAAGAGTTTAGTGATTTCCAAATTCTGATTCAGAGTTCATACCAGCCACCCTGCCATTCTGATGCCATCTGATGCTAAGGGACCAAGGAGTATGCGCTCTCTTCCCCATTCTGAAGAGACCCAAAGCCCCCCTGGGCTTGAACACTGAAGCACCTTCTCTCAGTTGTCCGTTTTCTTCTGCCAGCTTCCTTGCTTCAAGGATGGAGATTTTCTGGGAGCAGAACGTGTATCATCAGTCCGGGTGAGATCGCCAGGGGATGTTGCCAGGTAAGTTGGGTTTGACTGCCCATCATAGCATACAGGTGGTGCCTGACAGGCTGAGGGGCCGCAGGCTGGGACTGCGGGGGAGGGACTTTAAGACTTGACCGACTACAGAGATGCTACAGGTGGCATCTCCCCTCCCCTCAAAGGAAAAACAAGCACCGTGAGGTGACATTTGGTGCATGACTCTTTCCAAAAGTCATGCCTCAGCTGCCTGAAGCTTCAGGAATCCCAAGTCCAGGCAAATGTGTGACCAACTCCACTCTCAAAGCTCTGTACGGCTCAGGTAGTGTCCCACAATCTCCAGAAGCTGAGGGAAGGGGGTGCTCCTGTTCCCAAGAGTGGCAGCTCTCCTTGCAGGTGGAAGGCCAGGGACTCTAAGGTAAGCACGGATACCTACCTCCCTGTGCCAGAGACCTCGCCTGGCCCCTGAGTAAAATCAGCATATATTTCAGAAAGCTCTAGATAATTCATGAGCCCTCCACTTCTCTCCCACCCGGGGCATGTCAGGAGAGGCCAGGTAACAGTGTACTCAGCTCCAGTGGCCAAAATTACTTAGATAATTGCATGTTTGTCTGTTTTCTCGTCTTGGCCTTAGCTACATGCTAGAAGACAGATGCCCTTCAACCACATACATGCATGTAGAAGCTCAAGCATGCTCTCTCTCTCTCTCTCTCTCTCTCTCTCACACACACACACACACACACACACACACACACACACACACACACTCACCCCTTCTGAAATTCCTTTCCGTGTTTCTTGACAGTGCCAGCCACCCACAGAGGTCAACACTGGACTGACATGGTCCTGGGGCTGTCAAGGATACAGGTAGTCAGGTCATCCATCAGTCCAGTTCTCCACAGTCCCCATTCCTGAATGATACTGTAAGGGCGACTCCCGGGTCAAGGAGAAGCTCTGCGAGTAGAGGAACTCATTGGCAGCGTTCAGGTGCGGCGAGGGCGGCTTCCTCTCACACACGGCAGGGAGGCCGCGCTCTCTAGGGAAGGAGGCCGAGGGTCCCCGCTCTCGGACCTGAGACTGGGACAGCGGATTGTACACACTGAAGTGGGCGTTCCCTGGTGGCTGGGCGCTCTGGGCGGGGATGGCGGGCAGCCGAGGCATCACCGTGGTGGCAGTGAAGTGTGCGGGGAAGGGCTGGTAGGGCACAGTCTCCATGGTCTGAACACTGTAGCTGGTGTAGGGCGAGACGGACGTCCACATGTTACAGCTCAGCGGGGGTGGGGGCAAGTCGTCCACGGCAGACACCCCGGAGATCTCGGGCCCTGAGCCGGAGTACATACAAGCCTCTCTGGGGGTCACCTCACTGCAATAGGAAGGGCTCAGCATCTGCTGGTCGTAGGGTGGGGGAGACCGGAAATAGTGATCGTCCCCCACCGAAGAGGGGGTCTCCAGATAGGATCGCTTGCAGGGTAAGTCCAGGTGGCGGGCACTGTCTGCTGGAAGACAAAGAAGTACTCAGGAGGTGGCCTTCCCAGTAGCACAGGGCCTGGCACACCCCCACCTCCATGCGCCAGGATAGCCTGCCCTTTTCACTCGGCATCCGCCTGGCCCTATGTCGCCTGGCACTCCCAGAGCCATCTGAATCATCTGCAGCTTTTAAAAAGGTGGCAGCGGCCAAGGAGTGGCCAGATTACGGACCTTCGTCAAAGGCCATGGGGGACACCACATCCCTGGGCCCTGAGGGATGCGCTACATCAGCAGTACACAGTTCTGATTCTTTGCCCGCCTGACTCTCGGGAGGCTAAGAGGCCCTTGTGCACTTTGGCATTCCCGGGCCAGCCCAGCCTTGGCCCAGGAAAGCAGAGGCAACTGCCAGGCCCTGAGACCACATCTGTCAGAACTAGCCAGCAAATTAAGGCCACGATGTTACTGCCTCAACCCTCAGTGCTTGCGGGAAGCCTCAGGAAGGAGGCGGTGGGCCAAAGAGTTTGTAGGCGAGTTTTGGCTGCTTTGAGGGATGCATTTAACCCTACTGTGTTCAAAGACGACACATCCGCTGCTGTCACGCCAATCCCAACATAACAAGTGAAAAAGATATGTGCAGGCCGCTTCGAGACTCTCTGGAAAGAGGCCATGGGCCACCACAAACCAAGTCTCTGCGTCTTCCAGCCCCCTTCCCCCAACGATGTCGGTTCAGCCCTCTGGAGTGACATGTCTTCTCCTGGGACCTGGGGATAACTGAGGCTTGAGGGCTGGGGCAGCAGCCCTCTCAACATATTTAAGAACACTTCCCTGCGGCTTATCCTGGCCTCCTTCCTCTGCTTTCTCTAGGGATCTGTTCTGGGAGCCATGTACACAGAGCCTGGGCAGCCTGGAGGAGGGCAGAGCAGACTGATTCCTGGCTGCCCCTGGAAACTTACTCCTTTCTCCCACATCTTCCCCTGCACTAGCGTCCTGTGATTGGCAGGTGACCCATCATCCTGGGTCAGAGAGGAGCAAAGGGCCAGGCAAGTGGTATAGGCTTTAAGGCCATCCAATTTGCACCACAATTACTCACTCTTGTTGCTGGATTATGAAAAAAAAAAGAAGAAGAAGAAGAAAAAGAAGAAGAAGAAGAAGAAGAAGAAGCAGCAGCAGCTGTAGGCCAAATAACAATGGATGCTAAAGTTTGAATTTTATATAATAACATGAGAAGCCCACCTTTTTAAAATAAAGAGACATCGGGCCTAACTAGGTCCAAAGGCCAATCTTATCTCTAGAAGTGGGCTGAGAGAACATTCTGGATTATAAGCAAAAGTACCCAGTCTCCCAAGAGAAATCATGGGTCTTTTGGCAAGGTAACAGTAGTCAAGCCCAAATCTGTCTGTGGAAAACACAGGACTGGGGGCTGGAGAGATTGCCACAGAGGTTAAGAGGATTGGCTGTTCTTCCAAAGGTCCTGAGTTCAATTCCCAGCAATGACACGGTGGCTCAGACTATTTATAATGCGGTCTGGTGTCCTTTTCTGGTGCTCATACACACATGCAGGCAGAATATTTAATAAATACATTTTTTAAAAAGGAAAAAATAATACTAAACACACACAAACAAGGCTGGCAGTAGAGCCTGGACCTGCTAGTTCCCATGTCAGTGTTGTAAAGAATCCAAGTGCCAAGAGTGCTGCCACCTGAAATCTGCCCAAGTCACTCATTTCAGCTCCCAGGAGGCCTGTGTGCCGTAAGGGGTGGGTGGCGAGCATCAGATACACCACCAGGCAACACCCTGCTCTGGGGACTGGGACTAGCAACAGTCCAGCCTCCCTCTCCCTCCTAGGCAGGGTGGGGGCAGGAAGAACCCCATGGAGGCTCCCAAATCAGCACCTGGGGCTGGCCAGCGTTCTGGGAACAGCGAGAGCTAGCTGTCTCCAAGGCCACACAAAAGTGTGCACCAACGCGCCAGCCTGTCAGACAGACAGACAGACAGACACACCCCCACTCCCTCACTCCTCCCAGAACCCTACCTCTGCGCTTCAGGCAGTGGTAGAAGAGGCTGGAGTCCCTCTGGGCCGGGAAGGTGTTGAGGGCCAGGTCCTGGGGCTCCGCGGTGGCGAACTGCACGTGGGCCCCGTTCTCGTACTGGTAGTGCTGCAGCGCCTGGTGCGCACTGTGCAGGGGGCTGACGTCGGGCTTGGCCGAGAGCTGGCTGGAAACGAGCCGCTGCCGCATGATGCTTTTGGAGATCACCGGATACTCCTTGCTGGGGGGGCAGGGAGAGAGGGAAGATGCTTTGAGGGTTCCTGGGTCTTCCCGTCCCGCCCCTGGCCAGAGCTGCCCCACCTCTGCAAGCGGGCCACGCGTAGGTCGCTGTCGTCGCTGCCCCGGAATCCCTTGGCAAAGGGGTTGTTCTCGATTTTCAACTGTGTGATCTGTCAGAAAAGGACACACGCGGTCGCTGGGAGGAGAGGGGACAGGCTGACTGGTGGCCCTCTTCCCCCAACGCAGGCCTAGGTGCAGCCTGAAGAAGCTGTGCCGCCACCCCACCCCCACTCCCGCTTAAGCCAGATTGGAATCCAGGACCAACTTCAGTCTTCCTTGACCTGGCTGCACACTGGGAGCTTATCCTTGGCTCTCTGTTCTACTTGCTTCAGTCCTTCTAGTGCTTTCTTCCAGCTCCTGAGCCCTGTGACAGCCTCCTACGCATGTCAACTCCCTTACAGATTCTAAGTGACTGAAAACCTGACGTGATCGCTCTTCTAAAACCCACCTCTACTTACAGACCACGGGTAAGAGGCAAACTGGCAGAAAAGTGACAGGGACCGGGAGGTGATTGGCAAGTGCCAGCCACCTCATAGTTGACGGGACCCAGGTTCCTTGCCCTGCTAGCCCAGAGCTGCACCTACTGGAAGATTCTAGAAGAAAAGAGCCCAACCCCAAGGCAGACTCCATGCAGACTCTAGTTGTCAGTTGCTGGCCGTGGGCTCTACCCTTCTCGGTTAAGCTGCTCCTCAGCTTAACTCCCTGGCTCTGTCTCCCAGTATGGCAATCTCACTGTCTGTGTGTCCCCTCTGCCTTTCTGCTCATCATGTGACGAGAGTCAACAGGCAGGTTAGGATGGTGGTACCGTGGGGGTTGTGGTCATACCTTGTGGTTCTGGTAGGAGGTCACGGAGATGAAGGAGGTCTCTGGGAACACGTGGGTGCAGAAGGCTGTGTTTTTGGAGCCAAAGGCATTGTTCTCGTCGGCCTTAACAATGTGCAGCCTCGGCTGGTACTTATGCATGGAGTTGAGGATGATCTGTGGGATAAGGTCTCAGTCTGAGCTCCAGGCCCGAACCCAGAAATGTCTCCCAAGTGAAGGAACTGGGATTCCCAACTCCATCCCCACACCCTCCCCAGCCTCTTGTTCCAGAGACCCTTCACTCCAGCATCTTCGGGCTTGTGATCGTTTCACTGTGACCAGAACCTCACCTTCTCTGGGCCTGGGCTGTGAGATCCTAGCTCTACCCCCTCCCCTCAACCTACAGGTACCCTGCCCTTCCTCAGACTGCCTGCTGGAAGTGCTCAGCCGCTGCCTCTCACATCTGCCAGCAACTAAGTTTAGGGTTCACAGGACAGGAGAGGGCAGGGAAGCTGAGGGAAATGTCCTGCTTTAGCTTGGTGAAGCATGATGGAAGACCAGCTGCTTGTGACCCTTCAAGCTGCCCAAGGCAGTTCCCAGCCTGAGGAGAACTCATCACTATGACAAGCAAAGTTTCTGAGCCTTGGGGCCTGTGGGGGAACCCTGAGCAGGCCCTGAGCGCCCAGGAGTATGGGGCTGGGAGAAGGCAGGAGGGCCCAGCCGAAGCTCAGAGAAGAGCACAACATGCAGAAACGCACAGTAGTTACTGCCCCAAACCTGCCTCGTGTGGCTGTGCCCCCGCGGTAGCGGCTACATCACGTGCCATTAAAACGTATTTTTTATCGTTGACATTTGCCAGATGTCCTCCCCTTGGAGGCGGGGCCAGGAATTTGGGGCATTTTATCAGCACCGCTACATTCGTTAACCCTTTGCTTTCTGTCTCAAGCTGCTGGCCCTCAGCCTCTCTTCCCCAAATGCTTTCTTCTGCCCTGGGGTGCCCCTTCCAGGCTGGGCTTGCCGGCTGCCTCTGTGGAATGAAACATTTAACCCTTAGGTGGCCACAGTGCCAAGAGAAAAGGCACAAGAGTTAGGCTCTTTTCCTGGAAAGCCTTGCTGCATTCTGAATCCCAGAAGGTCCCACACTCATCCTGTGCCTGCATGGCTGCTGCAGGCCAGGGGCTAGCTGTGGGCTTTGGTCTTTCCTGGGCTCTGAAGTTCACCTGGGTGGCTTTGGGGCAGCCTGTCCTGTGCACCAGCCCTTCCTCACTTGGGAGAAGGTGGACTAACGCCCAGTGTGGCTGAAGAACACACATCCTTTCCTGGGAGCCAGGTGTGCCCTGAGACAGTAGAGTGGGGCCTTGCGAAGCACCTCACAGTTCTGTCACTGACTGTCACCTTGTACAAGTCGCCAAGGCACAGTTACTCACTGAGGACCTCTGTTTCCTGAACCCAGCAAGCCGTTTCCAGGGAAGCAGCCTCGGTATTGCCAGGGGCACACTCCCAGTCTCCTCTCCCCTCTGCAGGGACCCAGCTCCTCAGTCCTCCCAGGGATTGTGTGGGACCTCTCAGTTCTTAAGCTTCTCACGCTGCCTTGCCCACCATGTGGCTTCCTATTTCTTCTTGACTCTTCCAACTACAAACTCACCCAGGGCTGGAAATAGGGGCTCAGTTCCCAATACCACTAAAATAAACTTCCCCCAAAGAAAGGGCCCTATCTTTTGTTCTTTTGCACCTCAGGCTTCTTGGCCAAGCGAGTGCAGACCCAGGGCCAGGCCTACATGCCTCTTCTCTGTGGATTTTCCGTGAGTACAAGCTCTTCCTTTCCCCTCCTTCCATGGCCACTCCCACCAGCCACTCGGGCTCCATTAAGGTCTTATGTTTGGAATGCCACTACTTCAGCCTATGAGACAGTGTTCCTGCCAAACACACCCTGCAGAGGCAGGTAGGAGCCACCTGTATTTACATCATAATTCATAACAGTAGCAAAATTACAGTTATGAGGTGGCAGCAAAAATAATGTTACAGCTGCGGGTCACCACAACAAGAGGAACTCTATTAAAGGGTCCCAGCATTGGGAAGGTTAAGAACCACTGCACTAGAGGGTACGGCCTATAACCTTGGCCACAGAGGACTCCAAAGGTGCCAGGAAGCCTCCAAATCATCTCTCCACCAGCACTAAGTGATGCTGAAGCTGCTCTCCAGACACTGGGGGGCCCATCTGTTAAAGGACAGCCCTCAGCCAAGTGGTCCCACAAATGCCCTTCAAGCTCGTCTTGATAGTCTGGCACCTGAATAGAAGGAACCCTGCCCACCAAGCCAATGCCCATATAAACTTGGACCCCAGTCCTACCAGCCTGGGAGAATATGATAGCAACACTTGGCTTCGGTCACAAGCTCCTCAGGCTCCATGTTTAACCCGTCTGCCGGAGTCTCACCTTTCTATCTGTTATAGAGTGATAGTGGGCCAAACGGGCTAGCCATGTCAACCATTTTGAGACGCGTCCCATCATCATCACTGTTCTATAAAAATGGGACTTGTTATGTTCTGGCCCCAGTTCAGAAGCCTGTTCTAACAGACCCAATAGTGCCAAGCGTCCGTCTCCTCGAAAGCTTGCCCAGATGTGCTTTGCCACCGAGGTCCAGATTTACCCCAGTTAGAATCCAAGAACTCAAGAGCCTGGAGAGGCAGAGAGTATGCTCACCCAGCCTCTAGACTGGCACTGAGGAACAGAAGGCCTGGAGTGGGAATGCGCCTCGCCCAAGGACATGCAGCTGGAAGAAGACAGGCAGCCCAGCAGATTCCAGATGGCCCTGGAAAGAGCACATCCTGCTCTCGATGAACTTCATGAACTCATAAGGTGTCTGCTGGACACTGCGAGGGATGTGGACTTGTCTGAATACTAGCCACACAACAGCAGCGGGCTAACGTACATTCTGCCATATAGCAAAACCAGATTCACCCGAATCCAGCTCTTACTAAGGCTACGTCCTCAGTAAGATTAGATTAGGACAGAGACAAGCACTGCAGCAGAGCAGATGGGGGAGGGCTCATATCTGAAACCCCAGGATTTGGGAGGCTGAGGGAAGAGGGACCCCAAGAGATCAAGGCCAGCCTCAGCTGTGAAATGAAATACTATTAAGAAAGAAAGGGAAGAGAAATGGGAGGGTAGAAGAGAAAAAACTGAATGGAGTCAGGCAGACCTTCCGCCCATTCACAAATCCCTGGCCGGATAAGCCTTGGGCCTCATTCCCAGGACAGCAACCTGGGGCTCTCCCACAGGGCCAGGAGCCTCGTGCTTTTCTCTCAGAGTAACAGCAATGACAGCCAAGGGTCAGGGGAACAGAGCCTTTGTGCTGGTCCCTTGGGCTAGGTATTTTCACATATATCATAATTAATCTTGATAATGCCTACAAAGCCATCAATGCAACCCTCACCAGCCTGGTCTACAGAGTGAGTTCCAGGACAGCCAAGGCTACACAGAGAAACCCTGTCTCAAAAAACAAGATAGAGAGAAAAAAAATCAATACAACCCTCATTTTAACATACCATGGATTGATCATCAGAAGACATTTGGACATCTGGCTGTAGTCTGAGACGGAGGCAAAATCAGTACTAACTCCCTTCACCTGGCTGATCAGGGCATGGTGAGGCATCTGTTGTTCCCAAGGCACTGGTGGGGCTTGGCACACTGTCAGTCAGGAGATGGGGGTGGCAAAGAGGGAACGACACAGCCCGGGGGGGGCACAGCAATCGCTGGCCCAGGAAAGGCCACCGGCCTACACACCACCTTTGTGAGTGTTTGTGATTCACGCGCTGTCCACCAGCCCTCACTAGCTTCCCAGGTATCCAGACATAATGTGAGCCAGACCACCACCAAGAAGCAAGTGAAAATGAGTGGCGAGAAAATACGGCAGGAAAAGTGGCCTTGCAAGAATGTGCAGCGCCTTAGGGAGGGCACCTGAAGGCACCCTGGAGGACAAAGAAAGGGGCATTCCTCACAGTCTTCCCAAAGGCAGCTTACAATGTGAAGGAATTACAGTAGAAACACAAGTCTCTCTCTTCAGCTACACATGTCGATCCTACAGTTCATATGAATAATAATAAATTAAAAAAACCGCACATACAACTCGCCAAGAAAACTGAAAAGAGCAGAGCCAAGGGGCCAAGCCCTGCCAAGCATTGAATGCATCAAGTCTCAGCAGTTAAAGCAGTTGGCACAGGAAGAGACAACTTCGCATGGGGACAGAAGGCATCCTAACCCAGGGACAGAGACCCTCCCCTGACTGATGTTGGAACAGCCACATAAGCTCTCTCAAAATCAGAAGAACAGGGTTGACGCCCCTCACCCAAGGCCAGCATGGTTCTCAAAGGATTTCTATTTTGTAAATAAAATAAACCTAGGGCTGGCAAGATGGCTCGGTGGCTAAAGGCATCCGCTGCCACGCCTGACCATCTGAATTTGATCAATGGAGCCACATAATGGATAGAACAGACCCCAAAGCACTCGGGAAGCTGAGGCAGAAGAGTTGGGAGTTTGAGGCCAACCTGGGCTACACAAAGAGCTTCTAAAAAGTACTGAAGGCAAGTTCCCTCATAAAGAAGAAATGACTGAGGCCTTTCCAGAATCTATAAAGGAAGAAAGGATAAATTCAATCAAAAACTTCTGCCAGGGGAAACCACAGCCACTGCGGACCAGATCAAGTGACAAACTGGCAAACACATTAGACAGGACCTAAATCTTCCAAGTTTATAAAAGCTCCTAAAATTGATGAGCTCAGGAATCTGAGAGGAAAATAAAGAATCAATGGTTCACAGAAAGGAGATGTGTATGAAGGGTGCCCTCGCTCACTGGGAAGGAGATGTGAGTTAAAACTAAAATCGGTACCTGTATTTCACCTATCAAACTGTCAGGAACCTACCAAGCTTTGGCTGGGGAGGGGCTCCATGTGCAACCTCGAGGACCCAAATGTGATCCCCAACATACATGTAAAAAACCAGGCCTGGCCAATGCCTGTAATCTAGCTGAAGCCAGCCATCGGAGATGGGAGGATGACTGAGGTTGCCTGCCCAGCCTAAGCAGGTGCGGTCAGTTCGCTGGAGCTCCAGGTCCAGCGAGAACTCTGGCCTCAAAAGAGAGGCCAGATGGAGCTCCGAGGAACACCACCCAAGGCTGACC